GGATACTTCCAGAAAGTATAAGAGAATGGTGATTGTCAGGGGCTGGAGGGAGGGGAAAATGAGGAGCTGGTGTTTAACAGGCACAGAGGCTCAGTTTTATAAGACTGAGAAGTCCCAAGACTGGTTGCACAACAACATGAATATATTGGACGCTCCTTAAACGTACATTTAAAAATGTACGTTAAGATAGCAAATTTTATGTTATGTGTATGTTACCACAATAAAAAAACATATTTTTTTCCCAAAGGGAAACACAGTGGCCTCTCCATGGAGAATGGACTAGAGGGGAGTAAGGAAAAAATGAAATACCAATAAAGAAGCCACTGATGTTTTCCAGGCAAGAGATGCTGGCAGGTCTGGACCAGGGTGACTGCAGTGAGGAGCAGGAGGAGACCAGAACTTGGACATATATTTTGGAGAAGAACCACACTCGTCTTCCTCGATGGGTTCTATGTGGCCATGAGGGAAAGAGAAAGCTTCTGGCTGTATACAGAACGGGTGGGTAGGGATGCTGTTTATTTTTATGGGGATGCCATTTACTTTCAGTTGAGAAAATGGGACAAGACAGGTTTGGAGAAGAAATCAGAAGCTGAGTTTGGCAGTCCCTTTCCTTGATAAACATACACAGATACACACACTTCATACAAGACTATGGCATGAAGTGGATTTTAGTAAGTGGTGAGGATTTGCCTCACAGCTCAAATAACCTAAATTGAGTATCACTATTAAAGTACTTTTGGAAGTTGGAATATAAATAACTTTTGGTTTGTGTTTGCTGAAGATACACTGGAAAGATACCCAAAAATGAAAAAGAAATTATTTATGGGGAGTGAGACAATGGAATGGGGTATAGAGAGACAGAAGTTGTATTAAGACATTTCATGGTTTGCCTTTATATTATTATTAATTAAACTGTTTATTTCATTTTATTTTGGTCGTGCTGCATGGCATGTGCGGTATTAGTTCCCCAACTAAGGATGGAACCCAGGTCCCATGCATTGGAAGTGAAAGTGAAAGTCGCTCAGTCGTGTCTGACTCTTTGAGACCCCGTGGACTACACAGTCCATGGAATTCTCCAGGCCAGAATACTGGAGTGGGTAGCCTTTCCCTTCTCCAGGGGATCTTCCTAACCCAGGGATTGAACCCAGGTCTCCCACATTGCAGGCGAATTCTTCACCAGCTGAGCCACAAGGGAAGCCCAAGAATACTGGAGTGGGTAGCCTATCTCTTCTATAGAGGATCTTCTCGACCCAGGAATCAAACTGGGGTTTCCTGCATTGCAGGTGGATTCTTTACCAACTGAGCTACATGGGAAGCCATTGGAAGCATGGAGCCTTAATCACTGGATTGCCAGGGAAGTCCCTACTTCTTCGATACTTTGACTTATGAACCATGTACATGTTTTTTAAAGAAAACTAAAATTTAAAAATTAAAATTAAAAATTCTCTCTGTCAGGAAAAATTCTCAGCAGTTATATCATCCGGCCAGGTTCTGAATCCTCCTCTCTTTTCCCATTTCTCATTCTTATATACTCCCTTCAGAGTTGGGTCCTTTTCTGCTCCAATCTATATTCTTCTCATTTTCAATTCAATTCAAATCTCTTTTGTCCCTACTTTCAAGCTCAGCTATGGGTCCACTTTTGTACATTAAAACTCATAAAAGTGTTCATATGAACAAAAAACAAACAGAATCCTAGAAGTGGTACTTTTAAATGTAAATCCTGCCCCTCTCATCAAGGGTACAAAAATAAGATGAGGTCGTGGGGATGTGGTGTCAGGGAAGCTGTGATACCACAGAGAACCTGAAGATAGACAACCCAAGAGGTGAGGTTAAATATCAAAGGCAAGCAGTACTTTGTAAACAGCTTTGCTTGGGACCAACTTGACTACATTCTCTAGCTTCCTCATGCCATCTTTGTTGGGCATGTGTGTCCTCAATAAACTAACAAAAATTAAAAAAACAAAAGAACAGAAGTTGAGTTTGGGACATGTCACTTTCAGGAAAATGGAGAGGCACACTGTCAAGTAAATAATTGGGACCTTGTCTTTCTTGTTTATAGCTATATTCCCTACAAGGGTTTCTGGTACACAGGAGGTCTTAATAAATATTCATTGAATAAGCAGATGGATGGGTGAACAGATGGATGGATGATGGATGGGTGGATGGATGGTTGATGGATGATAGATGATGGATAGATGCATGATGGATTATGAATGATAGATGGGTCATGGACAGATGGACAGATGATGAATGGATGGATGATGGATAGATGAGTGATGGATAAACCAAAAGTACAGTGTCATTGCAGGCAAGAGAAAAGTCTTTTGAAGAAGTGGTCAATCTGTTTTGTTCTGTTTGTTGTGAGCTCAAGGAACACAGACTTGTAACCTGCATAGAGCAAGTCAATCCCACCCACAAGGGCTTAAAGCCTTTATTTTGTCCCTTATTTTTTCATTATTTCTTCCTTCCATCGTTAGACATGGGAGAATGGCGCCCTATGCAAGGGCAGTGGCCCCCCTTTAGAAGGCGCCTCTGGCTCTATGGTCTATTCTGAGAAAGGCAGAGAAGGCAAGTGTCAATTCTATAAACAACTGTTACCACTCATGTGCCAAATCTTTGTGCCTTTGGTGCCTTGTTTCCTCTCTGAGGGGGATAAAGACGGAATGAAAGTTGCTCTCTCACCTATGCTCTTTTTTCATAAAAGTGAGAAGCCTTAATTGGGAATTAGATGACAATGAAAGTGGAGTGGCCTGGAACTTGACGGGCCTTCTACAAATGGCATTATGATTTCAGATTTTCATGGGAGAAGCATGCCCAGCAATGTGGCAAAAAGCATCTATCTAAGCCCCAGCTAAACCAAAGTGCCTAGTCCAGGGTGCAGCAATATTCTGCATGTATGTTCCAGTCTGGCTGAATTCTATTCATGTCTGCATAGGAAAGGCAGTAACGGTAGATTGAATAATTCACTTGTAGTGAATAATTCACCTGCATGATCTGAAACCCTGTTGGTCACAAGACGGGAGGGAGCAGGGAGCCCTGTTGAAGAGTCCTAAGATTGTGTAACTCCTGGTTGCTCATGAGTTTTGGAACTTGCGGTGAGCCTGTCCTCTTGAAAAGTATCTAGAAGAGGATCGCTGAGATATCTTCCTGCTCTGCCTCTGAGACACAAGACGGCTGCAGGTTCTCTAGCAAATGCACCCTGACTCTGTCAGCCATCCAGGATCCTCCTCTACACCCCCAAACCCACTACAGTCCAGACTGGTTCCAGGCAAGAAATACTCCTTCCATTTGAAAACCTGCATGAAGGAGGCAGAGAGTCCGAGCTGTGTCTGTGTCTGTGAGTGAGCTGGCGCTGTCTGTAATCATTTCTTTCAGGTAGGATTATGTGTGTGATGAGGCATCATGGGCCCCATTCAAGAACACTTGACCCAGACTCCCAAGGGTCACTGTCCTCAAGTGGCTCCCATACAAGATGGTCCAGGGTCCTATCACCACTTCTGCCCAAATTCTTTTAGCTCTAGAGGGACCATTGTTGAGCTGGTGTCCAGGAGATGGACTGAGAGGCCTTACAAGTAGCTTGCCACAATAATAGCTTCAATACGTATTTTAAAAATATACTATGTATATTTACATTTATAATTATTTCTGTTTTATAAATACAGAATAGCTGTATCCCATACACTTTTCCATAGCTTCAGGTTCTGCATTCACAGATTCAACCAAGTATGGCTCAAGAACATTTGGAAAAAAATTCCAGAAAGTTTCAAAATGCAAAAGTTGAATTTGCCACACTTGGGCAACTCTTTACATAGCATTTACAACTATTGATAGAGCGCTTGCACTAACTAATCAAGAGATGATTTAAATACACAGGAGGATGCATGTAAATGTTAGTTGCTCAGTCGTGTCTGACTCTTTGCAACCCCATGGATTGTAGCCTGCTAAGCTCCTCTGTCCATGGGATTCTCCAGGCAAGAATACTGGAGTGGGTTGCATGTAAAGTTTACATGCAAATACTGTGGCATCTGATACAAGGGACTTGGGCATCCATGGATTTTGGTATCCACAGAGGGGTCCTGGAATAAATCCCTTGCAGATACCAAGGGATGATGTGTATACAAACAGTTCAACTGTTTCCAAGAAGTGGTCTTTCTTTATAACTTCGAGCAGGATCCAGAGCTTCCCTGATATTGTGACATGTTTTCGAGAAGGAGCCAGAACGAAGACAGCTGAGCTCCCTCTGTCTCTGCAGCAGCCTGTGGTGAGGGTGGTTTACTGGGGATTGTGAATTACAGTCTTGATTCACTTTTTGAGGGCTTCTCTGGTGACCCAGATGGTAAAGAATCTGACTGCAATGGAGGAGACTCAGGTTTGACTCGTGGGTCAGGAAGATGCCCTGGAGAAGGGAATGGCTACCCACTCCATTCCTGAAGAATTCCAGGACAGAGGAGCCTGGGGGGCTACAATTCATGGGGTCACAACGAGTCGGACACAACTGAAGACTAACACTTTCACACTTTTTGAGGAAACATCTGTGAGCCCAAGAAGCAAATGAAGCAGAATATAGTGGAAATAATATGGTCTGAATATTCAGACTTGAGTTCAAATTTGGTCTTACTACTCAGTAGCTGTGTGACTCAGGAGATGAGTAACTCAGCCTCTCTGAGACCCAACCTCCTCAACCCGTAAATGAAAGCATGAGAGTCGATTTTTCGTTGGGGACGTGAGGACCATGTGAGACCACACATGCAGGATTCCAGGCACAAAGTCCTGCCCAGATGAGAAACACCCAAAAGGTGGCTGCCACTATGATCAAATTAAGTTGTTCTTGAGCAAATTAACATGAAATTGGCAGAGGAAAATGGCATCCAGCAACCACAGTGAGCCCCAAACTCTATCTCATGACCAGCACGACTGCCCAGGGGCCCCGGTCATACACAGCTGGACCCTCTGTCCCGACACAGTGGTGGGAAGAAGAGGATTCATGATCACAAACGTACCTGGCTGCTGGGTCCAGCTGTTCTTTCCTACAAGGAGAAAAAACAAAGCATAAATTACATGCAACTGCTTCTCCTCTTCCTGATATCTTTTCTCAAGCTTTGTTTGCTGAAGATGCAGGAGCAAGGCAAAACGGTACATGTAGAGGGGGACCCATGAATGAGTGGGGCTTCCCCAGGCAGACCCCAGACCCCTCCTGCAAACTAACATGCCTGGTTCTGAACTCCAAGATCCCTCTCAGCCATTCATTTGTTTATTCCAGGGGTCCCCAACCTCAGGACCACAGACTGGTACCTCCTGTCAGATAAGCAGTGGCATTAGATTAAAAATAAAGTGTGCAATAAATGTAATGTGCTTAAATCATCCTGAAACCACCCCCACCCCACCACCCAGTCTGGGGAAAAATTGTCTTCCACGAAACCTGTCCCTGGTGCCCAAAAGGATGGGGACCGCTGATTTATTCATCCAAAAAATGGTTCCTGAGCACCTACTCTGTCCCACACCTTGTACTGGGTTTAGGTGACCTGTTAAGTGGTGGGGACAGACCAGGGAACCAGGAATTAAATGAGATAGCACATATAAAGGGCTTCCCAGGTGGTGCTAGTGGTAAAGAACCTGCCTGCCAATGAAGGAGATGTAAGAGACATGGGCTCTATCCCTGTGTAGGGAAGACCCCCTGGAGGAGGGCATGGCAACCCACTCCAGTATTCTTGCCTGGAGAATCCCAGGGACAGAGGAGCCTGGCGGGCTACGGTCCAAGGGGTCTCAAAGAGTTGGACATGACTGAAGCGACTTAGCATGTGCATGCATGCACAGAGCACTTATGAAAACAGATCTAATGTTATTCAGCCCTAGAGAAATATTACTGCATATTGTCCTTCTCCAGTTCTAAGAACTCCAATAATCTTGACCCTGCTCATAAAAAGAACAAGTTCTGCTTACACAGTAAATTAACTGAGTCTTTTTGGTCAGGTAACTTCTGTTTCTTGGGCCTTAGTCTCATCTCCATAAATCTAATGATTCCAGAGCTGCAATGACAGACACTAATCACAGATGGTCATTGAAATTAAAATGAAAGAAAATAAAAAATTCTGTTTCTCAGTTGCACTGGCAATTAGATACTCAACAGCCACCTGTGACAAGTGGTTACCATGTAGGGTAGTGCAGCTACAGACAATTCTGCTATTGATATCACTTTCATGGAACTGATCAGTGTGCATGAATTTTTTTGTTATTGTTGATGGTAAACAACATCCGATTTTTAACATCTGCCCACTTCTCTGCTTGTGCATGCGAATGCGTAACTTACTATCTGCCACCCACACGCCCCAGAGTCTTCCTGTAGCTTCTCAGCCTCCTACCACCTACTTCCACTAGGTCTACACAGTCTCCATGCTAAGTTGCTTCAGTTGTATCTGACTCTTTGCGACCCTATGGACTGTAGCCCTCCAGGCTCCTCTGTCCATGGGATTCTCCAGGCAAAAATACTGGAGTGGGCTGCCATGCCCTCCTCCAGGGGATCTTCCTGACCCAGAGATTGAACTTGCGTCTCTTACGTCTCCTGCACTGGCAGGTGGGTTCTTTACCCCTAGCGCCACCAGGGAAGCCTCAGTCTCCATAGACCAGCAAATCAGAAGACCTGGGTTTGGTCTCTCCTGTGCCCAGCATCATGTGTGGCCTTGAGCAAGTTCCTGAGCTGGAGGCCTGTTTCTTCTTATCTAAAATTGGGGTTGGACTTGAAAGTCTTTAAGGTTCTTTGAAATTAAAAAGTAATGAGTATACAATTCTAAGTAATCATAAAAACAAAACAAAAAAGGCAATACCATCACTCATCACTGGTAGCCCAAAACATACAAATATATACATACACATTTCAATATGTACACGTGTGTATACATATACACATATTCTTGCAAAATAACAAAGAACTACACTTGCTGGAAATGGATATGGCACTACTTTGAGAAATGGGCTACATAACTGCATCCTTCAAGATCTCTTGGAGGATTACAAAATTATGCAGCCACCATGGAAAACAGTCTGACAGCTTCTCCAAAAGTTAATATAGAGTTACGTATTCCACTCCTAGGTATATATCCAAGAGAACTGAAATGAGTATCCACAAACAGGTACCTGAATGTTCGTGGGCGTATAACAGCCCAAAAGTAGAAACAACACAAGTGTGTATCAGCTGATGAATGGATAAATAAAATGGGGTCAATATCGTGATATATTATTCTGCCATAAAAGCAATAAAGTTCTGATACACAAGACAACATAGACGAAACTTGAAAATATTGTGCTAGGTAAAAGAAATCATAACATTTTATTTATTTATTGTATTTATTTATTTGGCTGTGGCATGTGGGCTCTAGTTCCCTGACCAGGGATTGAACTCAGGCCCCCTGCATTAGGAGCACAGTCTAGCCACTGGACCATCAGAGAAGTCCCAAGATTTTATTTTATATATGAAATATCCAGAATAGGCAGAATAGAGTGATAAAATAAATGTGTGGTTGCAGGGGCTGCGGGAAAAGAGGGAACCAGGGGTAAGTGCTAAAGGGCACTGGGTTTCTTTGGGGGATAATGAAAATGTCCAGGAATTAGACAGTGGTGATCAATACCCAACTTTGTGAATATGTTCAAACCCACCAAACTGTTACTTTAAATGGGTATCTTTTATGGTATGTGAAATCCTTTTGTAGTATATGAAGTATATTTCAATAAAGTCTTTTTAAAAATAAATCAAATAAAAAGCCTTTAGGAAGCAGGTGAAGACATACCAGTGTAATCAGCTACTTTTTATTTTGCTGTGAAACCTATGGAATGGGTTGGAATATGGGGAACATCCTTTTCTCAAGGGACTGCCTTGTTCCAGAATGGTTGCCAAGGGAATTCTCTAGTGGCTTTAAACTTTCGTCCTTGAAAAAAAGAAAGAAATGTTCCCTCCTAGTCTAAAAGCCATTCCCATATCACAGCAGCTGTCTGAAGCACAATGTATTCTTCCAAGCCTCTGACAGCTAGGACAATGCCTTATTTATAATAAATCAACCCAAAAGAATGGGCCTATTGCCAAGACCTTGGGATGCAAAACAAACAGAAATCATCTTGATTCAGCGTTCAGTGTGGTTGCACAAACTCTGGTTTTGGACTTCAAGGTCAATCTGTTCTCTTCAGGAGAGGCAACCAGTCCATTCTAAGACTCTTGCTCTCTCCTAAGGGATTTTGATACTACCCCAAACTCAAAATGATTATAGCTACAATAGGAATCTGCCTGCAATGCCAGAGGCCCAGATTCTATCCCTGGGTCAGGAAGATCCCCTGGAGAAGGGAATGGCAACCCACTCCAGTATTCTTGCCTGGGCAATTCCCTGGACAGAGGAGCCAGGTGGGCTACAGTCCACGGGGTCGCAAAGAGCCGCACACGACTGAGAAATTCACACACACACAGAATAGAATTCTAGAATCAGAAGGAATCATAGAAAGTGTCTTCAGGGTGCGTGCGTGCATGCTAAGTCTCTTCAGTTGTGTCCGACTCTTTGCAGCCCTGTGAACTATAGCCTGCCAGGCTCCTCTGTCCATGGGATTCTCCCAGCAAGAGTACTGGAGCGGGTTGCCATGCACTTCTCTAAGGGACCTTCCCGGCCCAGGGATCGAATCTGTCTCTTTTATGTCCCCTGTATTGGCAGGCAGGTTCTCTACCACTAGCGCCACCTGGGAAGCTCATCTTCGGGGTAAGTAAATCTAATTTCGAGTAAGAAGATGCAGTCAGTAAACCTAACTCTACCATTCCATTATGGAAGTCTTGTTTCTCCTCCATCTCCTTAGCTCTTCCACAAGTCCTCACTCCCTGAATTTCTGTGCCTCTGCTCATTCCCTTTCAGGTCCTCCCTCCATTCTCCCTTCTAGCTGCTGTTACCTTCCCATAAGCCCTCATTTCCTCTTCCCTGGAATCCTGGAATCATTTGTTAGCTGATCTCCTGATCCTGGGCCTGTCCAATCCGTCCTCCACACCCCTTCCCATCTTTTCCCTGAAACACACATCTGATCGTGTCATTCTCTGCCTTCAATGGCTTCTCTTCCCTTTCGGGATCAAGGTGAGAGTCCTTCATGAGTCATGTGTGACCTTCATGGCCTGGCCCAACCTTAGCATATACAAGGAGCTCAAAAATACTGATGGACTGAATGCCTGGACTAGAAGGTGCTATGTGCCACTAGACCCTCCTGGGACAGCACCACAGCTCCTGAGCTGGGAGAGGGAAGCACGACCCTGAGGTTTTGGGGCCCTGTGGGTCATGGTCAGGTTTTGGATCCTGTTCTCTTTGTCATTGGAAAGGAAATGGCAACCCACTCCAGTACTCTTGCCTGGAAAATTCCATGGACGGAGGAGCCTGGGATACAGTCCATGGGGTCGCAAAGAGTCGGACACAACTGAGCGACTTCACTTCACTTCACTTCTCTTTGTCATGGTTACCCATTGGAAGGTTTTATGCAGGGGAAATGAGTCAGTAGACCTCCATGTCCTCAGTGTCCTTAAGTCTTCACCACAATCAGGTGATGGAGGTGGAGGGAATATTGAGGCCTAGTTCAGAGACTGGTCACAAGTCCCATGATGAGAATAAAAGGAGGTGGGAGGGAGTCACTAGTCCAGCGCTGGGTCATGTCATGATCTGTGAACCCAGACACATGGCAGAAACATGCTGCAGAGCGGGTGGGTCCCCCCTCCAGGTATGAGTCTGAGCGTCCCTCTACTTCTCCTCAAGGGTGCTAGCGGTCCAGCCTCCCATTCACACATTTAAAAATCCGAGCTCAGGATTGAAAACCTGGCAAGGTGCAGTCTGTTTCAGAAACCCAAGTAGTGACCACAGGCTTGGAGGACCCTAGATGTGGCTGACATTGGCCAAAATGACCAAAGTTTCTAAGCCCCAGTTGGCTCATTTGCAAAAGGAGCCTGGTGACACCGACCACCCAGCCTGTCTCCAAGGGCTTCTGTGTTAAAATCACCAGGGATGCCTGCTGGAGATGCTTCAACTCTTCCAACGCCATTAAAATTGTTGAGGCCTTCCCTGGTGGCTCAGCGGTAAAAAACCTGCTTGCAATGTGGGAGAACACAGGAGATGTGGGTTCAATCCCTGGGTTGGGAAGACCCCCTGGAGAAGGAAGTGGCAACCCACTCTAGTATTCTTGCCAGGAAAATCCCATGGACAGAGGAGTCTGGCAAGCTACAGTCCATGAGATCTCAAAGAGTCAGACACGACTGAGCGACTGAGCACACAGCACAAAACAGATGAAGGATGCAGGACCCGCATGTCCACATCCCCCACTGATTACAACCTGTCTTAACATCTGAGAACCTCTGACTTATTTCACAGGGTGCCTGTGAGTATTAAATCAAACATCAACTCGTATTCCAGGAGCATATTGGATGTCCCATAAATATTCATTTCCCTCTCCCTTTTCATAGGTGCTGGCCATTGGAAATGGAATGTAATTTTTTTCCCTGAAGACTCTCATTTAATTTCTCACTTCTGAGAACACGAAACATCTCTGGGCCCCCAGAGGACTCCGCCAGCTGCTTCTTCGCCTGCCCTTTCCTACTGTCCAAAGTGGTCTGGGGGTGAAAGGCACGACTATCCTGGCCTCCAGGATGGCCAGGCTAGCCCATTGCACTCACTCCTCACTTCCTCAGCCTCTGACACTGCTTCAACATTGACTGGACCTTCTCTTTCAGCCACTCCACACTGCCTAGCTGGAAACCCTGGGTGACATCCTGAGGTCATCTGGGGGGCTTCAAAAAATAGTGGGCTGCACCCCGTACCTGCCTCCTCCCCCTGGGATTATGATTTAATCAGCCTGGGGATGGTCTGGGCATTGGGATATTTTAAGCTCTAATGAGTCTAACATGAGGCCAAAGTGAGAACCACCACTTCCGGGACATTGTCCAGGAACCGTGAAGGCCACGGGCACACATGCAGACCCGAGGAGGGGGTGGTGAGTCATGCCCTGAGCAGTCAGCTGAGCAGCCACTTGCCTGAAGAATGGAAAAGAGACGACTGATTCATAGAACCTCCACGTCGCCACGAGATCAATCCTGTTGGGGTTGGTAGCATAGTACCTCCAGGCGGCCTGGGGAGGAGAGACGAGGGGTGGGAGTGAGCTGAGGTCACCCAGAAGGTCACACGGGACCCCACAACATTGAAACAGGAAGCCCCGGATACCTACGGGCTCAGTGCGCACTGAGGTCATACCCAGAGTAGCCAGATTCTCGGCCTTTTGTGGCTCCTATGGGAGGAAAAACCTCCTTGGCCTTATCATCTCAGATGGAGAGAGCCGGCGTAGCAGAGGGCGGGGTGGAGAAGTGAATTACCGTGGAGAGGGGCATCTGGGTATGAGGGCCCTGAGAGGAGCCGGGGCTCCTCTTGCTGCACGATTCCTTGAGATTTCTCAAGTAGGTGCGAAGACAGACAGCCTTTCGTGCCACTTCTGGGTGCAAAAGACAGTCTGGCAGGTGAGGTTTTGATTCGAACACACTAGATCTTCGGTATACTGTGATGGTTTGGGGGTTGGGGAGGATAACAGGGCAGACTCTTAGAGACCAGAACTGACTTAGAAACTACATGGTGCAAGATAACACCGTGCCCCATCCTGTCTCAGCCCCACAGCGACGCTCACTACAACTGGAAGCAGTTTCATGAGTAGGAGGTCATGCAGACGGTCTGTCCCAGGCAGCCAGCCAGAGCCAGAACACTCTACCTTCCTATTCCCTCTGCTCCCAACAGCCCATAAAACCACGAAGCAGGAACTCTCTCTGAAGGAGAAGAGGGAACACTGCCCCTCCCACCATCTCTCACTATTGTTCCCAACTCCCAGCCCAGGGTCGGGGAAGTGAGAGGGAGGGACCGCTGGCGGGAGACCAGCAGCCGCTGCTGCACGGTTGTCTGCTGGGTGGGATGAACGGTGAATTGGTCAGTGTTTTGCACACATGGGCATCTCTCCCTCTCTGGACTTACGAGCTCTCTATCACGAGCAGACGTAAGGGCCCACACCTCCTTGCAGCTGGTTGGCTACGCACCTGTGCTCTAGGCTGACTCTTCATTGTGGGTTCCCCGTTCAAGACTGTGGTGAGAAGTAGAAGGAGAGAAAACCTAGTGTGGACCCAAGTCCAGGCCAAGCTCTCCACTCCATCAGGGGTAAAACAGCTGATGGGCGGGCTCCTGTCTGAGTCCCGTGTCTAGGTTTGGCCTGGCTTAGAACTTGGATGGGAGAGTGATGGGATGGTCAATTTCAGGACACACAGAGTGACTAGTCAGAGAGACAAACCATAGCAACACCCAGAGTCGTGGCAAGCAGGCTTGGTCCTGGGTCCATCCCAGGTCACGGCGTGCCCACTCTTGTAGAAGCATACGGACGCACGAGTGCGCGCGCGCACACACACACACTCACACAGAGACACATGCACACACATACACACACACACACACATAGACACAACACACACACATATACACATAGACACACACACATAAACACACACATACACACAACACACACACAGACACACACATTCACATAGACACACACACATACACACAACACACACACACACATATACACATAGACACACATAGACACACACACATACACATAGACACACACATAAGCACACACATACACATACACACACACACACACACAGACGTAGACACACACACACAGAGGCACTGATGCATGGCCCCGTCCAGTTCAGCCCCAGGCAGACAGACCTGGATGAGCTCAGCAGCGGGCTTCCTCCTTTTCTCAAAGTGCTTCTGACGGTGCTGCTCCTGCACCTTGAGCGCTAACCCGGACCCCAGGATGCCCTGAAGGGAGAGGTCAGGCCCTGAGGTCAGCTCCCCAAGACTCCCCTGGAGCCCCACCCCGACTCTCAGGCCCCAGTGATGACGCCGAGCGAAGGGGAGAAGGAAAGATCCCTTCTTTGTCTTCCAGGGAGTGGGGGCTGGGTTAAGCGGGGCCTTGAAGTCAGGGTTCAGTTCCGGACTCTGCCACTTCCAGCAGGGAGACCCTGGCCAGCCTCTTCTCTGCTGCATCTCAGTTTTTTCCACAGGGAAGTCAGATAGCAGCACCCACCTCACAATTCTGTGAGGAAAAAAATGAGACAACGTAACAGGGACTGCCTAGTAAGGAGTAGGAGGTGCAACGGGTTCCCAGTTAATATTAATGGAACTTAAAAAATATTTTAGTCGCTTGAATTGTCATGTGAGACTTTTACTCTGGCTGGCACTTCTCCGAATTGTGATCTGTTTTGATTTTTAGGTCAAACTCTCACATAGAGTACATGGTGGGGGTGGGGGGGGCACACCCCTTTCAAGTTGAGAGAGAATTTACAGACCATGGCCCATGCTCATAGCCCCTCATCTTTTATGGATAAAGAAACTGAGAGTCAGAAAGGTCATCTTCCCAAGGTCAAATAACTTAGGGAAAAACACTGGACGGCTGCGATTGACGAAGGGAGGGCTGCAGTGAACGAAGAGCCTCAGTATCAAAAGGATAGGAGGCGAAGGGTGGGGAAGAGGGGTTGTTATACCGGGAGGTTCTTTTCAAGCTTTGTGATTAAGAGCCATGCTTGAAGGAGCAGGCCTGGGTCCCTGGCTCTACAACCCAAAAGCCCTGTGACTATGGAAGCTTAACTAACCCAATGAAGCCTCAGTTTCCTCATCTGGAAAATGGGGAGAAATGCACACCAAACTTCAAATGTTTTTCCAAAGATTAAATGAGACAGTGTAGGGAAAGCACGTGGCATGAATCTAGTACACAGTAAGTTCAACAAATGCTGTATATTATTATTGTTGTTATGACACCAATGGGCACTGAGCTTTGGGGAAGTTATTCTACCAGGGATCAAGAATTTGAGGGAAATGCATTTTTTACACAGATGAGAAGATGACAGGGCAGAGAAGGGAACTCACAAATATAAAGGACTCACTATGTGCACAGAATATGGGGGTGAAAGACATAATCTCAGCCCCCAAGGGGCTCACAGTCTCCTGGGGAAGCAGATTTGGAATCTGAAATCCCAGGTGGGCTCAGAAATGCCTTTTCAGAGCGATACCCAGAGGATGGAGTGATGAACTCAGCCTAAAGAAGGCAGCACTGAACTGGGTCTGCAGGATAAACAACAGGTCCCTGTATAACACAGGGAACTATATCTAATATCCTGTGACAAGCCATAATAGAAAAGAATATTTAAAAAAAGAATATGAACTCAGCTTTGTGTTCTGTGATGGCCCAGAAGGGCAGGATGGGAGGGAGGTCCAAGAAGGAAGGGATATATGTAAACATATGGCTGATTCACTTAGTTGTATAGCAGAAAGTAATGCAACATTGTAAAGCAATTATACCCCAATTTTTAAAAAAAGAATGCATATATGTAGATGTGTCACTTTGCTGTAAAGCAGATGTTTACAACACTGTAAATCAACTATAGCTCAATAAAAATTTTTTTAAAAAAGAAACTCAGTCTTGAAAGAGGAGCTGGTGTTTGGGGGATCACTCCTGGCAGAGAGCCGTGCAGCCTGTGGCAGAGAGACAGGAAAGCATGACACTGGGACAGCTATGGAGTTGACGGGGCTGGAAATCGGGATACGAGAAGGTGGAAGATGAGGCTGGACAGCTGAGTTGGGGCCAGGCAGTGATGGATCCTGCCCATCATCAAGGGAGAACAGTGAGGGCACTCACGGCTGGCAGGGCAAAAAAGGAGACGCCGATTAACGAAAAGGTGGCTGCGATCAGACGGCCTTCCCACGTTTTGGGCGTCTTGTCTCCATAGCCAATGGTGGCCAGTGTAATCTGAAAAGAGAGGCGTTCAGACACGGGGCTTCCCTGGGGGAGGAAGTCAGTGATGTATCAGCCGACTTTACCCATGAGCCTTTGTACCGACTGGGGCACTGTCCGGTTTAGAATAAGACTCCCGTGGGAGAGAAGGTACTAAAGGCCAGCTATCTTATATAGGAGCCTTGAGACCACATCTGCTTCTAAGCTAAGGATTTCTTCCCTATAGTCAGTCAGTCAACAGATATTTCAAACATTGCAAACATGTGTATCTGCATATACATCCATGCATATGTTTGCAAATGCATGATCTTGTGTATGGATGGCCATGACTCTGAATGTCTGTGCTCCCACGCGTTTATTTACATGTATTGTGTGTATAGGTGTGCGTGTCTAAAGTCTGGGCCCGTGTCTGTCCAGGTGTATGCTGAATACTCCTCTGTGCATTTACACTTGTAGGTTATCAGCACACGTGCACTTATGAACATGGAATGCAGGCTACTGGAGTAGTTAAGTGTGGCCTCTGGGACCCAAATGCTTCGGCTCAAATCCCAGGTGAAGCACTAAGTTGGCTGAGAAATCTTTGAATTAGTGACTCAACCTCTTCAGGCCTCAGGTTCTCCAATTTGAAAGCAAAAGTGTTAGTTGCTCAGTCGTGCCTGACTCTTTGCGACCCAATAGATTGTAGCCTGCCAGGCTCCTCTGTCCATGGGATTCTCCAGGCAAGAATACTGGAGTGGGTAGCCATTCCCTTCTCCAGGGGATCTTCCCAATCAAACTCAGGTCTCCTGCATTGCAGGTGGATTTTCTACTGTCTGAACCACCAGGGAGCTAATAATAGGAGTTGTCTGCACTTAAAATGTGTTTATAAATGTAAAGTGCTTAAGCAATGCTTTAATACCACATGCCCGATGGGGCTGGGGCCATATGTCTCTAGGTGTGTTTGAGGGTCTGGGTATATACACGTCTGCATCTGCCACTGAGTCTGCACAGCACAGCCTGGCTAATGACAGGTAAAGTCCCTGGGTGACCGTGGGATGCGACTGATCAGAGCCCTGACTTCGAGGGAAAAGCCCCCCTTCCAAGGGCCCACCCTGCAGGGTGTGTCTCCCAGGGGGAGGTTCATAAATGGAGGTGCTCTCCTCTCCCCCGTGCTGAAGAACACAGCTGCCCAACCCCATACGTCCACATCACACCCTCCATGTCCTTCCGTCCCTCCAGCTGACCCCCACGGGGCATCCTTCAAAGTGATGACTCACCAGGCCCCACCACAGGGCATCCGCGTAGGTCTCAAATTCCTCTTTCATCTCTTCTCCTTGGGCATCCACCTCTGGCACATCTTTCTCAACCAGGTAGACAAGAAATGAAGAAAGGATGAGCGTCAGGAACCCGATGTACCAGGCGGTGATGAGCTCCTGCGACAGCAAGCAGTGGACAGGGAAGGGGTCACTGGTGGAGGCTGGGAGGAGGCTGCAGGCAGACACCCTGGAGCTGGAGTGCAGGTTTCCCAGCTCTGGGACACAGGCAAGTTACTCACCTTCGCTGATCCTCACCTCCCATCACTGGAAGATGGGGGTCAGTACTGTGGTCATTGTTTCATCACTAGCAGAATGAGGGGATGGTTCTAGAAGGAGAGGGAGAGCCCTATGGTCACTGTATCACAGCTCAAGAGGCTTCACGGGGAGGGGAGAAGGCAGGAGGGATGGGCCGCTGCCTCGGAGACAAGGCTCGGGACTCAGGAGACCCTGTTATGTGGGATTGGGCAGAACAACGATAAAGCTCTTTCCACCGGGAAAGTGACAGTGAGGGGGAATTATCCTGGCAGAGGGGACAGAGCTGTGGACGGGGACCCAGCCCGGCCACTTACTGTGTGACTCTGGACAGATGACCTCTCCTCCCCAGCCTGTTTTTTCATTTTATAAATGAAGGGCCTGAACCACGGAGTTTCAAGAAGTGCCACAGATAACTTCAAATGCAGATAGGCATTTTTTATACAAGTAGTCACATACAGATTTAAACCATATTAGCATAAATTAAACATAAAACCATTATTTCGTGGATATGATCGCATGATAGACTGGGATATCCTCGAAAACAAGAGTGAGCTGATTTAACGGAAAAATGTTAAGGGTGGTAACGGTAAGGGTGGTACAGAGACATGCCAAAGATGGGCAAACCGCTGAAGTTTCAAACACCCTGACCATGACAATCCCTGAGGCACTTTCTATGTCTCGCATTCTATTCCAACTCCAAGGGTTACCCTGGTAGGTTAGGCAGAAGAAAGTCAAGGTCATGGGCAAACACAGTCTGGAGATTAGGCCTAACATTCCTGCTAAATCATCACGGAGAATGAAGCCGTTCATATCGACAGAGTTCATCTATCCGACCGTCCTCGGCCAACCAGCTGGCCTCTGGGTCCATCACATCTCGCTGACATGGCTGCTTCCAGCATCCCTCTGGGCCTTTGCTCACATTGGTCCTCTGTCTTCCCGGCCCCTCCCTGGGGGACCAACCGGAGAGCACTGAGTCAGCTAAGACTCGTGCCATCTCCATTACGAGAGCTTTCCGGATGTTTGCTCCCCCAGCTAGAGTGAGCTTTCATTTCTAGCTTTTTTTCCCTTCTGTGTCTTTATCATTTTCCAAACAGATGGTAAGTCTCTATCGTGCTCATTCACTCATAGGTCTGACCCTTGCCACAGCATCACATGCCCGGCGCACTTGTGTGAGTCCACAGCAGACAGAGGTTGGTTGAGATGCTGTAGGCAAACCCAGCAGCCCTTCCCCTCCGTGAGTGTCCACTCCGCCGGGGTTTGAGAAGGAAAGGATGAAGTGCACGGTCCTTCCCCAGTCACGAACCTGTCACCCTGCTGAGTGTGATTCCAGCGTGACTACGTTCTTTCACACGCTCCGCCTCCCAGTGCTGAACCAGAGAAACAGCTGTCTGTGTGCGCATGGAAGTCCCGGCTGTGTGGATGAAGGGCTGGCACAGTGGTCACTGGGGAGGGAGATGAGTCCCCATTCTGTGCCTTGCAGCCACTCAAGGGCCGCTCAGGAAATTCTGACGACGCCACGTCCGCCAGCTGCTCCACTGCAGTGCCTGCTCCCCGACGTCCACGGGCTCCTGCACACGCCTGAGCCCCCCAGCAGCCAGGTGGCAGCCGACGGTCCGGGGTCCAGCCCAAGGGAGTGATGGGGGCTCCTTCCTGTTGGGTCCATTCTAGAGGATGCTCACAGGCCCACTCCCCTTGCCTCGGTGACTCAAGGCTCGTTTCCAAGACAAACCAGGACCACTCGACCCACATCAGACACGTGTGCAGGAGAAGACGCCCACATTTTTGTGCTAAGGCCAGAGACTCCAGACTCCAGGGCTCATTTGTTCTGGGAGCAGAGTCTGACCAATCCCAACTTCAGTAAGAGCATTAGAGTCTTACGCTGAGTGGGCCCCTCACTCTTCATCTCTGAGTTTCTGGGAGAGTTAAGCATGGAACTTGGCCCAGAGAACACATTTTTTGAATGAATGAATGAAGAAATGAATCGGTGTTTGTTCACCAGGTTCAGAGAAGGAACAGGTCTAATCTCCTGCAGTTGGTAAATGCTGGGCTCAAACCCAGGCAAGCGCTTATACTTTCTGAACACACTGCCTGCCCAGGAAGTGAAGGCCAGCCCTGGAGCCACGCTGGGGCTCAGGGGCAGTGAAAGGCTGAGGCTCGTCCAGTGGGGACTGCTGGGGGGAAAGACGGGGCACGGAGCTGGCCACGCAGTCGCTCTGTCTGCCTTCGGTCTCCTACTGCAGACCTGTGGTTCTGTCCTGAAGTTCCACCCCTCAGCCGCAGTCGTGGGGTCCGGCGGTGGCATGGGCCCACCCCTCAGCCGCAGTCGTGGGGTCCGGCGGTGGCATGGGCCATCTTTTCCCAGGAATTACATGGCAAACATGCAACTGTCATATATTCTGATCTGATGGAACACAGGACGAGGACCTTGCCCAGCGATTTTTAGTCCTGATTTCCACCAAAGCTGTGAATCAGCTCAGCTGCATGGATACAAGCTTAGGTGTTGCTAACATGTCCTCTGATAAAAGACAAAATAGGGACTTCCCTGGTGGTCTAAGTGATTGAGGCTCTGTGCTTCCAATGCCGGGGGCATCTGTTGGATCCCTGGTTGGGGAACTAGGGTCCCATATACCAGACAGCATGGCCAAATAGTAATAATAACAATAAAATAATAAAATAGTTCAGGTAAAGAAAGAACTCTCTCTCACACACACACACACAAAAGCCCTGTCTCCCTGAGCCTGTGGCCAGAAGCGGAGCAGACACGGAATAAAACATGTATGGGAAGAAACTGCATTTTCAGATGTGAGACTCTAAGTGTTTTAAATTTGTATTTCATTTTCTTTCTGTATCTATTCGTACTGTTTGGGATAATACATGCTACTACTAATGAGCACTGATTATTCGCCAGGTACTGACACATAACTTGGCTCATGTGAGCAGCCAGAAGTATTCACATTTTAACCACTGAGGAAGCGCTCATGAAAAGAGAGCAGCGTTCTTAAAGTCTTACGGCTCGAAGGCGGCAGGGCTGCCATTTGCACCGCGCTGCTGTCCGACTCTTAAGCTTCCATTCATCCTACATGAGATGCTGACATGTCTGCGTGTGCCCCTGAACTGGAGCAACCCAGGAGCTTTGCAGGGGCGTTCTGGGCTTGCCCAGGTTGGGGGGCAGGTGATGTTAAGACTTACAGGGAAAACTCTGAGCTCCTCAATGGTGACTCAACCCGGGCTCTCTGCTTTCCCTGTCGTTCCCCAGAAGCCAAGTTTGAGACGGGGATTTAGGAGCACGTGAGGGCTTCCCTGGTGGTTCAGATGGTACAGAATCCACCTGCCAGGAGATGCAGGTTCGATCCCTGGGTTAGGAAGATTCCTTGGAGAGGGAAATGGCAACCCACTCCAGTGTTCTTGTCTGGAGAATCCCATGGACAGAGGAGTCTGGCAGGCTACAGTCCAAGAGGTCACAAAAGTCAGACATGAGTGAGTGACTAAGCAACAACCATGGTGATTGAGGGCGGGTCTGGGGACAGAGGGAATGAGGGAAGCGGACAGGGCAGAAGAAGGAGCTCGGCAAGGGTGTGCTCCGTGCTGGAGCCCCCCTCAGCCTGATTCCACGGGAAGCTCTGGAGCTTGAGCCACCCCACAGGGCTGGTCCCATCACCAGACGGGTCAGGGTGTCAGTGAGTCACCGGCTGCGGGCCTCCCTGATGGGGGAGGCGGAAGCTGAGAACAGGATAAGCCCCTGGGCCGGGCAGCTCTCCTGTGCTTCTCCAGGGGAGGGACAGCTGGGAACATTAGCAGCCAGCTCTCAGAGCAGTTAAAGGGCTGAGTACATCCTCCCAGGAACGGGGGCCTGCTCCAGGTGCCAACCGTGTACACCGTACCCACCAGGGCTGGCACAAGAAGATGCTCACTCAGGGATGAAGGCAGCTTTCACTTTATCCCCTGAAGCAGGGGTCCCCGACCTCCAGGATCTAATGCCTGATGATCTGACGTGAAGCTGATGATTTAATAATAGAAATAAAGCGCAGGATAAATCGTAATGCAGTTGAATCCTCCCGAAACCACCCCCATCCCCGGTCCACAGAAAAACAGTCTTCCACAAAACTGGTCCCTGGTGCCGAAAATGCTGGAGACTGCTGCTCTAAGGAACACACATCTCAGGAGCTCTTTGCTCTGATTTCTCCTGAATTGGCCTCTGAGTGATTTTTTTTTCCTGCCACTCCGAGGTTTTCCATCATTTCTCCAGGGTCCAGCCAAGGCAGGGATATTGAAACAAAGTGGTACCACAGGTTTGGGCTAACCACAGGAGAGACACACAGCGCAGGTCCGCTCCAGACACACTGGCCTTGCCCTAGGTTTCACTCCTGCTCAAGCACATGGAAGTCTGGGCCAAGCCCCACTTGGCCTGAGCTTCTCATCTGCCTTGTAGAGGCAAGAGCCCCCATGACAGGTAGCAAACCACTGAACATGCGCTCTGAAGCCAGACAGCCTGGGCAGCTCACTTCCTCTTTCCATATCTGCTTCCTTATCCCCGAACTGGGGTAAGAATAGTGCAGATCCTGGGGCGAGCTAATCTGTATCAAACACCAAGTTCAGGCACTGTGCTTCTGGCTACAGGCTACATGATAACAATAGTGACCAAGCCACCACAGCTAGGCGCTGAGTGTGCTTTAAGTCCTTTCACCCTATGAGCTGAATGCACATTATTCCCGTTTTATAAATGCAGGAGAGAAGACCCAGAGGTGTGTGTCAGTCACTCAGTCATGTCCGACTCTTTGTGACCCCATGGACTGTAGCCCACCAGGCTCCTCTGTCAGGGGATTCTCCAGGCAAGAATACTGGAATGGGTTGCCATTTTCCTTCTCCAGGGGGTCTTCCTGACCCAGGAATCGAACCCGGATCTCCTGCACTGCAGGCAGATTCTTTACCATCTGAGCCACCAGGGAAGCCTCGAGGGGTTACAGGAAGTCTCCAGAGTCACATTAGTAAAGTTTAGATTCCAACCAGCCTGGGTGACTTCCTTCCACCCCACGCTGCTTTGCATTAGAGGCAGTGGCATTATCATCCCTGTGTTGGAAAGAGGAAAACTGAGGTCAAAGAGGGTTGAGTGATGCGGCCGGTGTTGTTTGCATCTGGTCTACCTGTGCCTGCATGCTCCACTGCCCCACCACCATCAGTGGTGGCAGGACCCTCCGGGGACACCGTCTGGGAGGGGATGCCGTGGACCGGATGCGGGTAGGAAGGAAGCAAGCCCCATGGTCCGGGGGCTTCTCAGCGGCACTTACTTTGCTGTGGGCGCAGATGGCCGAGCCCAGGAGCTTCCAGGTGCCGCCCCTCCGGTCCATTCGCAGCATCCGAAGGATCTGCAGGAAGCGCAGGCTCCGCAGGGACGTGGCCAGGACGTTGCCCTGGTTTCCCACGGCAACCACCGGCACTGAAGCGATCAGCACGAAGATGTCTGGAAAGAGGGCGGAGGGTGGCAGGTGAGAGGGGGAAGGAGGTAAGGCCAGGGTGCAGGAGCCGTCATGGGCACTGTTGCCCACAGATGGGCAGGTGCCGTGTTAAACCGTGACACTGAACAGGTATCCCGCGTAGGATACGTGTTCTTCTGAGACAGGTGACGAAACAGGAGCTCTGAGTGTGAACCCCTTTCCAGGGCCGTGTAGCCGGATGTGGCCAAGTTGGGACTGGATGCAGAACTCCAGTGCTCACTCCAATCCCAGGGAATTGATGCTCCAAGACCGTCCAGGGGCGGTCCTTGGGGGGGGGGGTCTGTCTCTGGCTGAGAGGGGATCAGGGCTGCCCAGGTGGAGGAGGGGAGGTCTGAAGCTCAGAGGCTGTTTGACTGTGGGTTTCCCCTTCCTTGGTGGCTGAGATGGTAAAGCGTCTGCCTGCAATGCCGGGGACCCGTGTGCGATCCCTGGGTCGGGAAGATCTTCTGGAGGAGGATGGCAACCTCCTCCAGTATTGCATGGCAACCCACTCCAGTATTCTTTCCTGGAAAAATCCCATGAACAGAGGAGCCTAGTAGGCTACAGTCCATGGGGTTGCAAAGAGTCAGACATGACTGAGTGACTTTATTCACTTCACTTTTACTTGCCCCTGCAAGCAAACCCTGAGAGGGATGTGGCTGTGGGTGACTGAAAGGGAGATGAACGCAGGAAGCAGAAGGGAGGGGAGAGGGAGGCAGGGGAAAGGCCAGGGCAGGGGTCTTGTGGGGGCTGCTGCTGCTGGAACGTCAGAGCTGAAGGCAGAACACCTCCCGCCATCGTCCCTCTGAAAGATGGGAGCTGGGGTCTCTGTCCACAGGCTCCTGGCTCCTGCTGGCCGCGGGGGTCATCAACATCCCACACTTCTGAGCTGCACTGCCCAGTGACCTCTCTCAGTTTCAGAGAAAGCCCCGCGGCAGGGTGCAGGAAAGCATGGGACCCGCCCCAGAAATGGGGGGCTGCTGTCAGGAGGTGACCCGGAAACGTCCACCAGAGCTGCAAGCAGAGGCCAAGGGGGTGAGGCAGTTCTCAAAGGGCCAAGCTGGCTCCTGAAGCTAAACGGTCAAAGATGGAAGGAAGAGGGCCCTGGTCTCTTTCTCATTCCCTTCAATGCTCCTCCCCCCAACTCCAGGATCTATTATGTCCCCACTGCACTGCAGGGGACTAGCAAGCACAAAGGATCCCGTGATCCAATAAATTAGGGGAAAAAAAATCAATTAAACAGGTTTTACTACTGCAGGACTTCGCAGGGCCGGTAATGTACTAATATGTCCTGTGGTTCTTTCACTTTTACCAGTGAAGTCCAGCCTTTCTCGAAAGATTTCAACCACAGAACTGTTTAGTTGGTTCTATTTTTGCAAGGGCATCAGGGTACAAGGAAGACACCTGGAATGTTTATCCAATGGGCCAAGTCCAAGCTTCTGAAAACCCTCTGTGACCCAGCCCTAGGGAACCTTCTAGAAGCACGTGTGATTTTCTGAGTTCACGGTGGTCTCTCATATCTCCATACCTTTGTTTGTGCCAGCCACCCTGCTCGGATTAGGCTCCTAAATCCACACCAAGTTATCTCTGCCCAAAAAAGCTGGCATCCTTTCGACCATGTCAAAGCATCTCCCAGATGTGCCTAAACTCTGGGAAAAACTAGGGGTCAGACATCTGGATACCAGTATATCTATATGCTTGGTCAGGCTTCTCTGTCTAGCTGTGCAAAGATAGCCACTTTTCAGGTTTGCAGAAAATAAAACAAAACTGAGACACAGGGTAAATGTGATGTAAGTTTATGACCCTCTGACACAAGGACAGCAAATTTCAGCCCAGACAGACTCATCCACAGTGACACGGCAGGGTCTGAGCTGTTTCAAATAAGGAGGACACGATACACGTGCACAGGATAACCACCTCTGGTCAAACAGAGGAAAGCAACTCTTCCCATGAGGGCTATGTTACAGGAGACATTAGATGAGCAGAAGAGAAAATGCAGCAACATCAGGAAAGAAGCCAGCCAGGATGGTGGAGGCTGAGGACCAGTCTCATCTCCCCAGAAGGGACAGGAGGGGAATGAGAGCTGGAGCTCTCTCACGATCCTAGAATCCTGAGACTGTTCCATAGGAAATGCTCCTGTTCTGGTGGGGCCTGGGCTCCATATACTAGGATCGCTCTAAGTTGGCAGGGATCTCAGAGTTTGGACACTGTCAATCTCAAAGTGAACTCCCTCACGCCCTGCCCACACACACACACACACACACACACACACACACACACACACACTTCTGGTCAGCATTGGATAGGTCACCCCAAAGATGAAAAAGAAGTCAGCTTAACACATTATTGACCAGAGACGTATTAACACATCTTTTGTTATCTGAACATTATTGATCGGAGATGTTATCAATATGCTTTTAGACAGTGATACAATTAACACCACCGTGTGAAGTTGTTAGAGCTTAAAATTGAACAAAGATTCATTATACAACTCATATTGTCATTATCATTCACATTTTGCTCTGTTAGGTTTTTGATCCAACCCTGTGTATATTATAAATGCAAACTTATTACCATAAAATTTTCAAAAATGATGCATCATGAAGTTTTGGGTGAAGAATTTTTTGGTGAGTTTCATGCAGATACTTTCTCTGACTATCTGAGCGACATATATACCAGTGTCTCAGAAGATGATAGTTCTTCAGAATATAGCTTTGATTCAGATGATGTGAATAGTAGACCAACAAAAAGACAAAAAAAATCTCAGTGACTGATTCTGATACAGGAAGCGAAAATGAAACACAGTGCTGGAGAATGCTCCTTTGCTTCTCTACATAAGAGTAGACTGAAGACAACATTTCACAAACCTTAGAAGACTTTACAGGTGTATCAAGGGTAACTATTGAGTATAATGACGCACAAAGTGTTAGTGAAATGACAGAATTAATTTTGGCTGGCCAGAATAAAAATCACCAGCCACAGGCACCAGTTTCTGCAAAAATCCCCTGGTGAATAATGAGTTAAGATGTGAAGGATAGACAAGGAAAAAGGAAGGCAAAGGAAAGTTGGGGGTTTGATAGACTGAATGTTTGTTTCCTTTCAAATTCATATATTGAGTCCTGTCTCTTGGTGTGATGGTGTTGGGAGTGGGGCCTCTGGGAGGTGAATAGGTCTTGGGGGTGGAGCCCTCATGAAAGGGATTAGCGCCCTTAAAAAGAAAGAGACTCCAGAGAGCTCCCTTGCCCCTTCCTCCTTGTGAGGACACAGCAAGAAGACAGTGTCTATGAACCAGAAAGAGAACTCTCACCAGAAACTGACACTGCTGGCACCCCAATCTCAGACTTTCAGCCTCCAGAACTGTAAGAAATAAATTTCTGTTATTTATAAGCTACTCTGTCTTTGGTATTCTGTTACAGCAGCTTGAACAGACTAAGACACAGGTAGAGAGTCAGGGAAGGAGGGCAGAGGAAGAGAGAAAAAAATGTGGAAAAAATTAAGTAACTGAAAAGTTCTCCAAAATTGCATGTGTGCATACACACACACAGCCCCCTACCTGCATTCAAAATTCTGAGCACTAGACAAAAACCTCAGATTTCCAGCCTCAGCAGCAGATGGGAAGAAGAAAAAGGGCTTCAGCTGACAGTGAGGGTGGTACTGTCCTTGGTGTGAGGCAGCCTGCAAACCTGGCAACTTAGTCTCAGGTGATACAGAGGGAAATTGGCAGCTAGGATAGAGCAAGGGTCTAGCTCTTCCTCCCTGGGCTGGCCATTCACACCAAACAGGGCTGTATTCAGTCCTGGGGGTCAGTTTTCAACAGGGTAGTGAGGAAGAAGCTGCAGCTCAGAGGGGAGGGTCTGTGATGCTAACAAGGTGGGATGTAAGATGGGGTGAAGCCACAAAGCACATCTTTCCTGAGGAAAGGAGACTCTGCTGGAGTGGAGAGGAGGAACAGAATGGCTGAACTCAAATATCTGAAGAGAGTCAGAAGAGTTAAGATGGAATGAATAACTTTGAGAGGTGGTGAGCGCCCTGTGACTGGAGGTTTGCAAGTAAAATCTGGGGTACCACGTAAAGGCTGCTGTGAAGGAGCTGGAGCAGCAGACAGGAAGCCACGTTCAGCCAAATGCTCCTGAAGGTTCCTTCCAGCCCTAATATTCTATGATCCTCTAACTTTAACTATTTTTGGAATTTGAAGATCCAAGAGTCCTAAGCATCCCTGCAGGCAGATTTTGTCCTGTCTCTGTATGATTTTAGTAGGATCTTCAGATGGGAAGCTAGGGGTTACCCCTAGGTGGATTAGGGGTGGAGGTGGGTTCTATCCTGCACCAATAGGGATGTGTGAGAGCTTCCACCATCTCTGCTATGAAAATGCCTGCATCCAGATGGAGGGGTAACCGTGACACATCCCCAAAGCAACTTTTGGGTCAGGACACAGCAATGTGGGGTTGCCACCTCTCAGAAGCGCGAAGTGCTAGATTCTTGCAGACCTGGGTGTTAGGATGGAATCTGCTGCTTACTCCCTGTGTGACTGGAGAAGGACTCAGAACCGTGAGCCTCAGTTTCCACCTCTGTAAAATGGGCAACATGTGATCCTACAGAAGTAATTGTCAACCAGCAATGGTGTCACACTTTCTAGCTCCACTGTAGCCAATTGGAATGCAACTGGCGATTGTGGCTTCACAGGGACTGGGGATGTGCAGTGTCCTCCAATGGCTGGCACCTTTGCATTCCAAATGCCGAGAGTACACCCCACCCCACCCCTGTGAAGAATGCCTGACCTGTGGACTCATTCTGAAAAGAAGCCACTGGGGCAGGAATTCAGTACCTGCTGGAGGGCTGAAGGAAGTGTGAGAGGCGAGGCCGGCCCCCACCAGGTTCAGGGTTTCCCAGACGAATTGTGTCGGCGGCTTAAAATTGCCTCTGAGAAACAATGCACCCAAAGAGGGGACCGAGGAGCTCCTGGGCTCGGGGTCAGGGCTCACCCAACATGCACAAGGGCTTTCTGGCAAACTTCAGTCGTCCCCGCCAGCCTTTGTATCGGCAGCAACAGCCGGCAGCCCAGATCCTCAAAGCAAACTCGGCTCCGAAGATGAAAATAGCAAATGTTTCCTGCATGGAAGAACATATGGAGAGACGCTGATTAGCTGGGACCCAGTTGTCCGGAACCAGCGATTTCTGTTTTGAACTTCTAAAGAGCTGGATTTCTGTGGTTGCCGGTTTGATGGGCGGAGGGGTTAGGACAAGCTGATCACCTCCATTCAGGGCGGGGCAGCTCCTGTCTTCACTCTGATGTGCTAGCTGTCCCGAACATTAAGTCTTTTTTTCCTACACTTTTTTTTTTCTAATGGATCATTTCTTACAAATTCCTTTAATGTACTAAAAAGCCCCTAAGAAGTTCAGTTGAGTTGAAAGGAGAGGAATTGATGGAATTGTCCACAAGTTGTCTGGCCCCTGGTATTGCTAAGTGTGGCCAATGGTTATTGAGCAGAGCTCCTGGGCCAGGAATCACCAGAGGTATTTTATAATATTACCCTCATCTTATATTTTGAGAAACCAAGGCCAGGGAAGGAGTGGCTGAACAAATGTTTCAAGGTCAAAAGTGGCCAAGAAGGAATTCCAGGCAGGTCATCAGGCTCAGAGCTCAGGTCCCTTAGGGTCAAATTGTGCTACTCTCCTCCCCAGGACACAGAGCCTGCTCCCTTCCTCCCAGGCCTCCCTTGCTGATCAGACAGAGACACTCTGCTCCTTCTGTTTGGCGCCTTCCCTGGGGCTCTTGGGGAGTTGCAACAATCCTTGAAACTTAGTTCCTGGAACTGGCTGGCTTCCCAGGAGTCACCTGCTCAGGTCTCAGCTCCAGACCTGCCCTGAAAAGCAACCTGCTGGTTCGGACCCCACGGGCATCACACTTAGCTCATCAAATTAGGGTTTATGAAACAGCAAGATCCCCCCTAATTGGGGGTGGGGGCTTGGCATCCTTCCCTTGTGCAGAGGGCAGGGCCTCACCCTAAACAGGTGGGCTGATCCTAACCAAGGTACGGTCATTCAAAGGGCCAGTTGGTCAGTGCTGTCTGGGGTCATAGCAGGAACTTCTTCCTGGAAGCCACCTCCTGGCTGGGCATGGATGCTGCAGTCAGCCCATCAGTCTGTGCTCCTCGCCTTACATTTCTGCGTATCGTAGGTGAGGATGGGAGGAAGCTGAGTCAGGGGAGTTAGGTCATTTGCCCAAGACTGCTGCCTGCGCACTGTTTCCACCACACGTGGGATACAGACTGGACAGTGAAAACGGACAGGGGCCCAGGAAGAAGGACTTGGAGTTTTCATGTAGAAATGGGATTTGGTACTTGGCCTTGAAGGAAGAGGTCCTCAGGGTTTAGGGAGGAAAAGCAGAGGCAGGGTTTGGAACTGAACATGCCTTTGCGTTACCTGTCAGAAGATTTTATCGTTTAGCCAATGCTTTGACTTTAGTCGTGTCCCCTTTTCTCTAATCTGGAATAACACAGGCCATTCGCTCTCTGCTCCACCTGTGCGCCCGGAAGGCCTCATCAACCGGTTTGCCATTGCTTCCTCTTACTTTTGGACTTGGCCGGAGACTCCAGGAAACCAACAGCAGTCGTGGGGAAACCGCACCCAAGGGCCTCCTTGTCCTCACCGCTGGAGGGCCCACCAGAGCGCCTGCCCCAGAAACACGGCACCACGCCGGGCACACAACTCACCAGCAGCAGAAGCCAGTCTCCTGAAACAGTCTCGTACTCCCTGAAGGTGGTCAGGACGGCCAAGATCAAGCACCCCAAGACAATCAGGAACCTAGAGGGGAAGGAAGAAAGAAACTAAGGAAGTGCCTTGTTCTGGATTGTGCCGAGGCTAGGCAGAAGAGTAACAGCCAGGATGAAGCTACAGTATCCATAAGACATAGGAGTGGGCTTTATACGTTATCCCATATACGTTATCCCGTTTAACTTCATAACACAGCTGTGAGGCAGCTAGGCAGCTAGTTGTAGTTAAGGAAATCAGGTTTGAGAGAGCAACATGCATAACTTTACCAGCTAGTTAGTGGAAACAGTGAGAATTTGAGTTAGAGCATCTGGTCCCAGCCCTAGAGGACTGCAGATTGCCTGACAAACCAAATTTACTGCAAGCTTTGGTCAATCAACTGGAATATGTTAATAAGGGGTGCTGCACATACAGGACTATGACCTTCAAACATATGAAAATATTCTTAGAATAAAAATAAATTCATCTGAAGATTGATAAATTCAATGAAAGTCTCTGTTACCATTATCTTCATATTATTATTATTATTATTGTTTACAGTCAGTAGTTATTAAAGGAAATCATCTCTTTCAATTGGGGGATCTTCAGAATCGTTTCTGAAATTACCAAGTGTGTTTCATGCTAGAAAGAATCCAAGCCACCATGATGCAGAAGCCACTCACTGAAAAGTCATTGAGAGCTCATCTGGTTCATGCCCCTGCCTCAGGCAGAAGCTAACTGCAAACAATCCTCTGAGATGATTGTATTTATAAACTCCCTGTGTGTGAGCGAGTGAGGGTGGTGGAGAGACAGTGTGTGTGTGTGCGCGCGCACACGCTTCATCATTTCAGCAAAGAAAACAGGTTCCCCCTCCCTCTTGGTGGGGAGTCTTTGGTTCAATGGTCAGCATCAGGTTCTCTGGGTGTCTAAGTGAAAGTGTTAGCTGCTCCATCATGACCCTGCTTTTTGTGACCCCATGGACTGTAGCCCGCCAGGTTTCTCTGTCCATGGAATTCTCCAGGCATGAATACTGGAGTGGGTAACCATTCCCTTCTCCAGGGGATCTTCCTGACCCAGGGATCGAACATAGGTCTCCAGCACTGCAGGCAGATTCTTTACCATCTGAGCCACTGGGAAACCCTGGTGTCTAAGAGCGAAACTAAAAGACAGTGTCCATGCAGGAGTCTTGGTACCACATACTCCAAGTTCTCCTGCTCTACGTAATCCGGTGCTGTGCCCTTCTAGGCTCCCATCCATGCCTTTTCGGTTTGTTTATGTAAGTGGGTACCCACTCGTGGATTCATTCATTCATCCATCCATTGAATATTTATTTATATGGTAGGCACTGGGGGAGGCAGAGCTGGCATTCAATGATGAACAAACTGGATCTGTCCTTCTAAGCTGACGGTCCTGACAAACAAAAAACCAACTCATGGTGTGATGGTAAGGACCATGATGTAAGGAGGCTTGGAGATGTCTGCTCCTGGAGCTGGCTTGGACCGGAGTCCTGGTCCCACCCCCTGGTGATCCTGATTGCATTTTCTGATCAATAGTCCTGGTGACCTGCAGATCTGACTCTGTCTCCAACCGTGTCTAGGAACCCAAATAAGATTTTCAACTCCCTCCTGTTTGGCCATTTTATTTTAAATTCGTGACACATGCAGAACCTGCTTACTCTTCATCTGAGTCTCTGGTGATGATGATGATGACGATGATGGTAACAATCTCAACACCCAACACCACTCTTTAGTGAGCAGTTGCCACCTGCCACCTTACACCTATCAGCTCATTTATCCTCACAATCTTCTCCCAAGGTAGATATGATCATTCCCGTTTTAGCGATAAAGAAATTCATCAGATAGAATCATTACCAGCAGGATAACTGTGTCATCAGTAAAAAGACTACAGAGATCTTCCCAACCCAGGGATCGAACATGCGTCTTCTGCAACTTCTGCACTGCAGGAGCATTTTATACAAACATGAATAAAAAACCTAGCCCTCATTTTCAAGGATTTCCTAGTCCAGTGGGGGAAACAGGACAAATAACCATATGAGAGTCTGGCTGAGGTTATCACCTGAGTGTCCACCACAGGCTTTGGGAAAACAACACAGGAAGCATCCCAGAGGCTGTGGTCAGTGGGCTGGAAGGCTATCTGAGTCTTAGCTAGCATGGACCATATGTCCCAGCTTATCCATGACATCCCCCATTGTATGTGTGTTGACCTGGAGCACGGACCCCTAGGCATCGTGAACAACATGTGCATGTGCAGAGAGTTCAAGAGCTCAAGCATACTAAACCCCATTCAATCTTCTCCTTCAGCAAGGGGTGCGAGCCTTTTATGATCTGACCTTCCTCATCCCCTCTTGCTTCCCCACCCCCTACACCAGCTGTACTGAATCACAGCATTTCCTCAAGCCCTCTTTTCAATGCTCCTCTTCCCTGACCACTCCCCCCGCGTGCCCCTTCACCTCCTGCTAACACCTTGACAGACACCCTGCCTCTGGGGGGTGGGAGCCTCCCAGCTACTGCCTGCCCAATTCCTCATGTGATCCCTCCCTTGGGATCACAGAACACCCAGAGGAATCTCTGTTCCAGTACCGATTGCGGCCCATGATCATTTTGTAATCACTGCTTGCACCGTGTCATAAATACAGTGCACCATCTTAACACCCAGCATGAGAACTCGTCCCAAGGCAGGCACTGCCTGTGTCTAGTGAAATATCTTACAAATCCAGTTGAGGTGGAAGCTGCAACCCTCAAGGCATGAGACTGCTAAACTTCCCATCAATAGAAAGCAGCCAGAAGTTGGAGATGGGGGTGGGTCTGGAGGGCTGAGAATGACAAAGAGGCGGAGAAATGGCCACATGCTGAGGGGTTGTTAAGAACGAGCCTGGTTAAAATGGTAAGTTTGTGGCCCTGCATCTCCACCAATGGGACAGGGAGGCCAAGCTAGAGGAGAATCAATGCAGGGGGCAGGTGACAGGGTGGAAACGTGCTATTCAAGGCTTCAGGAGTACGTATGCAGAAGCCGACAAGCCAGCAGAGATAAATCATGCTGTGGACCTACTGTTTGAGGTCCAAGTGGGAATATCCAGCAAGCTGATCGAAATTCAAGCCTAAAGCTTAGAAGAGAGGTCGGAGCTAGGTACATAAGTCCCTTTCAGCTCTAATTGTGATTTCAGAGCCAGGTGAGGGGACAACTCAACCTTAACCAGTCACCAATGCGCAGTTTCAGGCCGGTTCCCATTCGCAGGGGGGTTGTGCAGAACCAGGATTTGGCCAGAAGGGGGCAGCAAACACTCGTCAGAACTTGGCATTTTTTTTCGTCTCCAGGAATTAAAAAGTACGGGCAACCTGGGGAATTTACTTGCTGAGATATGAAAACAATCATTAATTTATAAAGCGGAAAGCATCAAGGGAGGCCTCCTTCACCTGAGAAGGGGAGCACTCTTTGGTCTCCTGCACATTTCACTTTACGCTGAAGATAGGAACTTGATTTCAGGCTCACGAGGGAATTATCAGTCTCACAGATGGAAGGCAGAGAGGTGTGGCTAGACGGGGTTTTCCCTTCTCTTCCTGTTTGTCTCTCCTCTCTCTCCATGCCTCACCGATTTTTTTTTTTAAGCATTTCAAAATTAATTTATTTATTCAACAAGTATTCTTAACATATACTCCACACAGGGCACATATTGCTATGTACCTGTGACTAACACAGACAAATCATAACACAGAGTAGAACAGTCAGAATCATCATATAAATATATGTAGAGGTTGTGTGTGCAATTGGGGGAGGGCCTGCAGTTGCGGAGCATCTGAAGGAAACATACTAGGACCATTTTATCTGTTATTCTAATGCCAGTGGCTCAGCATACCAACCTCCCTTCCAGCCATCTCAGGAGACCAATTATTCTTTTACTTCCTCTGTCATGTGAGTTTCTTCTCTGTATCAGTGACATCAGTTGGCTGACAAAGGTCCACAAAGTCAAAGCTATGGTTTTTCCAGTAGTCATATACAGATGTGAGAGGTGGACCATAAAGAAGGCTGAGTGCTGAGAATTGATGCTGTTGAACTGTGGTGCTGAAGGCTCTTGAGAGTCCCTTGGACAGCAATCAAACCAGTCAAGTCAATCAATCCTAAAGGAAATCATTCCTGAATATTCATTAGAAGGACTGATGCTGAAGCTGAAGCTCCAATACTTTGGCCACCTGATGCGAAGAGCTGACTCATTGGAAAAGACCCTGATGCCGGGAAAGATTGAAGGCAGGAGGAGAAGGGGACAGCAGAGGATGAGATGGTTGGATGGCATCACCAACACAATGGACATGAGTTTGAGCAAGCTCTGAGAGATAGTGAAGGACAGGGAGGCCTGGTGTGCTGCAGTCCATGGGGTCGCAAAGAGCTGGACATGACTGAGTGACTGAGTAACATCCTTCACCCCACTTTTCTCTCTCTTCACCTCCCTGAACTCTCTTCCTCTGCCCCTCTTCTCTGCCCCTCACCCAGCACTTCGCTCTCCTCCCTGGGACTTGCTGGAGGCTTGGGGAGAGTCGACAGCTGCCCTTCTGTCTGCAGGGTCCCGACCGTCTTTCCAAATAAAACCAGTTGAGGTCAAGGGTCTTGACATACCCTCAAACCAGACACCATCTCCTACCCGCCTCTTCCCACCCGAGCCTGGCCTCCCTTCAAAGGAACAAAGCCGGACCCACGGGAAATCACGACACGTCTCCCCTCAAGGGCTTCATTCAAGGGGAACCCAAGAGAGTGGAGACTCTAGGCTTTCCCTGGTAAGTTTTTGGCATGTGATTTTCTCTTGTCCTCTGGAGAGCACCATTGCCAGCTGGGGACACTTGTCACTGTTATATCCGTGCCCCCATTTTACAGATGAGGACCACCGCCTTCAGGCTCAGGCAGTGGGGTCACTACAGGAGGAGGGGGCAGAGATGCTGGGACCAGACCCTGTTCTGGGAATGACCTGCAGTGAGGTTCTGCAGGGAACGGGGCCAGGGCAGGGCCAGCTGGAGAGCCGGGGTGGGGTGGGGTTGGGGGGCATG